TTTTTTTTTTTTTTACATTTTTAGCCATTAGATCTGCCACAAGTTTAGAGAAGTCTGTTGGTCTTTAATCAGTGTTGTGATTTGTCAGTGTCCCCTTTTATTTCTAGTATTTTTTGCTTCCTATGTTTTGATGCTAATTGAGCCCCTAGAAGTTCTTGCCTGTGGGTTGTATGCACATTATCGAAACCAAAGGTAACTATAGGTTTCACTGAAAGCTCATTTATATAGCATTCTGCCATTTAGTTTTACTCTGGGTTTAAGTGGTTCTTTGGGTGCTCACCTTTCTTCTTTGCATGTATGGGATTCTTTGTTTTTTTAATAGAGTTAACATTATTGCCATAGTTGATGTTAGGTCTGTGTCTGTCTTTTTGTTTTTTAGCTGTTCCTTAGTTTGTATCATGTTCCATGATCTGTATTTTCTTTGCTTTCTCTGTATTTTATTTTACTTAAAATTTTTAAAATTTTATTTAAAATTTTATTTTTGAGAGGGAGAACAACGGAGAAAGTGAGCAGGGGAGGGGCAGAGAGAGAGGGAGAGAGGGAGACACAGAATCTGAAGCAGGTTGTAGGCTCTGAGCTGTCAGCACAGAGCCTGATGCGGGGCTTGAACCCACAAACCACAGGATCATGACCTGAGCTGAAGTCGGACGCTTAACCGACTGAGCCACCCAGGCGCACCACTTTCTGTTACTTTACATGGTTTATGGTCTTATTTACTTACTTACTTGCTTAATTAACTTATTTATTTTTGGTCATATTTTAATTGTACTAATAGTTACCTTTTTAAAAAATCCGAACAAGATTACGTTTTCATATTTTGCCTCCAGTGACTTCTTTCTACCAAGGTGCCTTTTTCCGTGCCTTGCTCTGGAGGCATTTTGTTCTGCGGTTGGACAGAGTGTAGTTGAGGTAGCCAGTTTGCAGTGTGGAAAGGATTATAAGGGTCCCATTGTGCCAGGCCCCAGTGGGGGTGGTTCTGAGGAGCAGGAGGTCTGCCGTCCCCCATGCCCGGCACAGAATGTGGGTTTTGAACCAGGTACCGACAATATATTTACTCCATCAAAAAAAAATATTTTTAAGTGACCACGGAATTGGCTTTTGGAGAGACAAATGAGGGTAATGTGGTTGTTTTGCTAGAAGGTGATAAAGCTGTGATGCTTTTTGCCTTCTTTTTAAGGATTTTTAGCTTGATGATCTAAGCCACCTCAGTCCCCTGTCTTTGCATCTTGGAGAATGTTAGTCATTAATTTGGAAATATTCGTAAGATCGGTCAGTGAAATTGCATCTTGGTTCCAGAAATCCTTGAAGGCATCTCAGTCAGTTCATGATGCATACCTGCTTTGGGTTAGCTGCAGGCTCGTCCTTCAGAAGTCCACACACAGATGCTCTGTTTGAGAAAGTGTTACTGTTAGTGGACATCTCCTTCCCTCACTGGAGCCTAGGACGTTACTTTTACAATGAGGTACCAAGAGCATATAGTAAAAAGTTTTCTCTGAATTACCAGGTAATTGACTTACTGACTTGGAAAATAGGAACGGGGTGGTTCAGTTACTGAACAAGTAATACAATCTACATACAGTGTCAGCTCCTGCCTTGAGTCATTGTCCCTTATATGCAGGGCCCTTTGCTGTCACGTTGTAATTTGCTGTTTCTCTGCAAGTAAATTCCATTTTGTTGCTTTTAAATTCCCTTGATATATGTTGCTGATGGTTTTTTTTTTTTTTTTTTAAAAGGTAAGGAGTGCTGTTTCTGTATGTGCAAAAGTTATACTGATTCACTGAGTTGTCCCGGTGGAGCCTTGCCAGAATATTAAATGCAGGAGGGGAATTTTGGAAAATATTCAGGATTAAAATGAACTGGATCTTATCCAGTATGTTTTTATGAGGGGCTGTCTCTCCCGTAGCTCAGCTAATACCAGATTGTCCTATTGCCCAAAATTACAAACAGTTTGGAACACCTATCCCTAAGAAAAGGAGGGAAAAAAAAAAAATCACCCTGTAAAATCGAGCTCTCTTTTTCTTAATTGATCGAGTGTGTGAAACGAAACACCAGCCTCTGCTTGGTTTGGTACGTGTTTTAGGATGTTTCCGTGGTCCAAGAGGATAGGCGATGTCTGCGTTTGTGGTGTCTGACGATGCTACGTGGCATCCGTGGGGCAGCGGATGGTCTTGTGAGCACATCGGCCTGTGTGCCCCTCCTTCCTCTTCCTTAGGCCTGTGCTGCCTGAGAGCAGAAGTGTCAGTTTCAGGGAGGAGTCCCTTCGGACACTCAGAACAGTGCTTAAGAGGCGGGTGATAGAACATAACTGCTGGCCAACCGTGGAGAACGATGCTGTTTCCCGTGCCCTAGACCCTGCTCGTTGGCCCGTCGTCACTACTTTCCACGATTCCCTATTTTCAGTGACACGTGCTGATAGAGCCCGTGTGGCATTGCAGGGCTGTGTGGGGGAAGCTCAGAGAGGCAGGTGCAGACCCAGCTGGGAGCCGGGGAGTGCCTGCTGGGCGGGAATCTCACAGGGGTGAGGCTGGGCTCTTCTCATCACACCCTATCAGGTTGCACGCGATTGCACTTGTCCCGCTGGAGTTCGCTTGGATCTTTTGATTAAGGTGGCGTCTGTCACATTTCTCCACTGTAAAGCTATACTTTTTCCCCTCTGTAATTATTTAATTAGTAAGTATTTTGTGGAGGGGGTACCGTGAAACACGTGTTTATCCTATTTCTTATCAAATTTTTAGTGTATTCATTTATTTGTCTTAGACCTGTGGTTTCCCAGTGAGTCATAATCCCTTACTTTATTATTTTGATGCTCAGATTGTCTTAAATTTGGCTACAGGGAGCCCTGTCAAACTGGAACCCAGCTTTGTCCTTATGACCTGTCCCCCAACATCCTTTGAACAATTCCTTACTTTCTCCTATAACAATATATTCTAAGCTCATCTAGTACTGTGCCTGTCTTAGCTCTGGGATTAGAGATTTCTCCAAGGAGTCCTGGCTTCTTTTTAGTGGAGAATGGTGTTTAGAAGCCAAGATCTGGTTACTGGGAGTGTTTATTGCTTATGGGCTGTTCTTTTTGGGCTCTTGGACTGGACAGAGCTAAGGTTACTTATACACGTTTCTTTTCTATTTTATTTTATT